AACAGAACTGCTCCGCTGGGTTTTCAAAGGTGTAAATCTTTAGGAGAGCAGAAAGCCTCATCTTTCTCCCACAGAGGGACTGGTAGTTTCAAACTGCTGACCTTGAGGTTGGCAGCCCAACATATAAATCCGCCATGCCACCAAAGCTCCTTGACATTAAGACAAAGTAAATTAAAAAAAAGAAAAGAAAAGTACCATCAGGTAGATTCTGATTCATTGAACCTACAGGACAGGAGAAATGCCCTTAAGGGGGTTTCAAAGTATAAATCTTCATGGAAGCAGACTGCCACATCTTTCTCTCAGAACAAAGTTGGTGGGTTTGAACTGCTGACCTTTGATTTTGCAGCCAAGCACTTAACCACTGTGCCACAATGGCTCTTAGAGAAAGAGAGACCGTTTACAACCTTGTAAACTAGTATTTTGCATAGAACACCTCTTTCAAGTTTAGGGATATGCTGGCATTGAGGCACTTGCAAAAGCTGATAAATGAGACATTTGTTCCCGTCCCAAGAGGGCAAACACCAAATCTTGTCAATCCCCACCAATTCTTTCAACAGAACACCAGCCTGATCAACACCAAGAAAAAACTGGAAAATGATGTTTCACAACTTCAGAGTGAAGTGGAAGAAGTCGTTCAAGAATCACGCAACGCAGAAGAGAAGGCCAAGAAGGCCATCACTGATGTGAGCAGGGGAGACTGTGTGTACGATACCTGCACCCCACCTGCCACCCCCAGGTCTCATGCCTTTCTTGGTTTATTGCTGGTCAGGCGGCCATGATGGCCGAGGAGCTGAAGAAGGAGCAGGACACGAGTGCCCACCTGGAGCGGATGAAGAAGAACCTGGAGCAGACGGTGAAGGACCTGCAGCACCGGCTGGATGAGGCGGAGCAGCTGGCCCTCAAGGGGGGCAAGAAGCAGATCCAGAAGCTGGAGGCCAGGGTGGGTGTCTCTTCGGATCTGGACAGAGAAGAAATGTACTCCCTTTATCCTTCTCTCCTACTGTCTATTGGCCCCTATCCTCCTCCGGAGGCTGGAGGCATCCACTCAGTACCTTCTCTTGGCCCTGCACCGATTATTATCCCCAAGACTGACTGCATATGGTGTGTGTGTGTGTGTGTGTGTGTGTGTGTATGTGTGTGTGTTTGGATTGCAGGTACGTGAGCTTGAAGGAGAAGTTGAAAATGAACAGAAGCGTAACGCTGAGTCTGTGAAAGGTTTACGGAAACACGAGAGAAGAGTGAAGGAACTCACCTACCAGGTAAGAGGGAAAAGAGCTTTCTAGACTATCCGTGCTGCCTCCCCAGAAGAAAACAGAAAGCTTGGTGACTACATAGCACTCACACAGATTCACATTAACTTGCTGCGTACAAAGGACAGACTACACAGTTGCTTCTTACAGATCTGTATTGAGGTAGGATGCTCAGGGATGCCTTTAGGAGATAACATGCGGAGAAGAGAACACGTGAATTTTAAAGCCAGAGGAACTAGATGTTAGTCCTAGCTTAGCCTCTCTTGCTTGATGAACTTGGGTAAGTTCATCAAACTCTAAATTTTGTTTCCTCATCAATGGCATATGACATGCCTCATCTACTTTCCAAGATTGGGCAGTAAGACTTAAGAGAAAAAATAAAACAGGGCATAGTAGAATTGTACCATTGAGCTGATGCCAACTCATCGTGATCCTATAGGACAGGGTAGAACTTCCCCTGTGAGTTTCTGAGACTGTAACTCTCTATGGGAGTAGAAAGCTCCATCTTTCACCCACCGAATAGCTGGTAGTTTCAAACTGCTGACCTTATGGTTAGCAGACCAACACATACAATACTCACAAGACTAGCTAGTGTTCATACTCTGAGAGAAGCCTCCAAACCGACCAGGGTTCCTGCAACATACCAAATTGATCTATGTTACAGTCTGTAATAGGCTCACTGCTTGGCGCTGAATGTGGAGGGGTGTTTTGTTTTCTTTTCTTTTTTCAAACTTTCAGACGGAGGAAGATCGCAAGAATGTTCTCAGGCTGCAAGACTTGGTAGATAAACTGCAGGCAAAGGTGAAATCATACAAGAGACAAGCTGAGGAAGCCGTAAGTATTTGTTAGCCTTTGAAAGATGCACATTTATTTTGGGGTAGAAAGTATATTCAAAGAATGTGTCCATGAGAAAGAAGAAGATAAAATAAGAACACACCCTTAATCTTTTAAGAGCGATGCTTTTGTAAATGTGGACTTAACTTCGTGACAGAGTAAGACTTCAGAAAGAGATACATTTGGGAAGCTTGTGAGGAACAAGAACATTCCAGATAAACCAACTCACTTGATTGAGACAAAGAACATACACATTCGAGCTTCTGATCCTCACCACAATAAATACTCCGAAACCTCTAGAAATGCAAAAAGCCAAGTGTTCTCAAAACCCAGGTGCCACCTTTTACTCCACCAGCTCACTCTTCATCAGTGCCTTTAGCTGAGCCCTTCTCTACACCTGCTGTCAGAACCTTCTGGAAGGATCTCCAGCCCAACTCGTCCTACTTGTCACCTTGCAGACACCTTGTGGTTGGGAGGAAGTCAATAGGAAGGAAAGGAAAAACAAACAAACTAGCTGCTGGCTAATCAATGCTGACTCACAGCGACCCCACTGTATTTCTGAGACTGTAACTGAGTATAGGGTAGGAAGCTCCGTCTTTCTTCTTCAGTTACTGGTGGTTTTGAACTGCTGACCATGCAGATCGCCACAGCCCATAGCAAGCAACCTTAGAAGACAGAGTTGACAGAACTGCCCATAGGGTTGTAGAGGCTGTAAACCTTTATGGAAACAGGCAGCCTCATCTTTCTTCCACAGAGCTGCTGGTGGATTTGAAACACCAACCTTTCCGTTGGCAAGGCAATGCTTAGCCCACTGAGCCACCAGGGAGCCTACCTTTCTTCCTAACACTCCCCTTTTCCCATACTCTGTGTATCAGAGTGAAAATGTATCATGACATGTTTTTTAAGGTGGGATCCCCCAAGTTTGAACTTGAGCTTCCTCTTACGTCCTCAACTCCGTAAGGCACATGTACACTCCTTTCCACCGAGTGTGCACACCAGGGACAGATTTCACACCAGAGCGGTTTAATGTCAATATGACTGCCCCCTCCGTTTCCATACGGTCTCTTTTTTTTCTTTCAAGTAATAATAACAGAATTATGGGACCGATGCTGTCCCAGCCTGAAGTCAGGTATGACAAACAGGTCCTAGAGGGGCAGGCTTTGATTTGAGGCGATAATCCTGGGCGGTGACCACCTTACTGAGAACCACGAAGACTTCTTCTCACGAAGTTCTCTCTTTGCCAGGAGGAGCAATCCAACGCTAATCTGGCCAAGTTCCGCAAGATCCAGCACGAGCTGGAGGAGGCCGAGGAGCGGGCTGACATTGCCGAGTCCCAGGTGAACAAGCTGCGGGTCAGGAGCCGGGAGGTGCACGCCAAGATCGGCACCGAGTAAGCACCTGCCTGAGGCGGCCAGGTGCTGGAAGAGATGCACAGAATGTGCTCCTCCGGGCCACTTGCTGGGTGGTGTTTCCTCCGCTCTTGCTGCTGAATAAACAAGAGCTCGGTCCACGTCTCAAATAAAACCGTCTTTTGTTTTTCATTTGGAAATCATTGCCCCCCAAATTGCGTGCTCAACTCGTTCTTCGTGGCTTTGAAGAACATGCACTATCGTGTACCTCTGCCTGCACCCAGCACCGCTTTTCCGTCTGCCTGCCTCACCCAGCTCTCTTTTTCTCTACTTGGTGTGAAATAGCACTAGGGGTTTATAAATTGCTAAGGAAAACATTCTCTAAGCCGCCCCTCATGATAGGACCCACTCAGCTACACACTCTACAAATAGCTTTGAAGAATCTACTACGTGCCAGGCGTTAGTCTAAACTTTGTGGAGAAACAGTAAGGAAAACATCGTCCTGATCCTCAGGAAGCGTATCTCCTACAGGGAGAAAAAGGCCATCCATCCATAAGTAACTATGTAATGTGTCAAATGCTAACGTCCAAGTGAAAATCTGTCTTGGAAGAAGCCAGAATGCACCTTAGAAGCAAAGATGGCAAGATTTTATATCCACCGCTCATCAAAATATGGATAGAAGTGACAAGAAATAGGGGGAAAGGAGAGGGACATTTGATGGATGAGACCATTAGCACAGCTGCTAAGAGCTGTCACCTTTCAGCCCAGCTGTCTGTAGGGATTAACATTCCAGAGCTCAAACCCAGCAGCTGTCAGTGAGCAAACTTAAGTTGGCCAGGGCAGAGGTGTGGGCACATGTTCCAAGTATCAATGTCCCCAGGCACCGTCACTGCGGCCTTCATCAGTCAGACTTTCCTAAGTGGGGGGCCGAAGAAAACTGGCCATGGACAGATGGAGCGAACCTTACTTAAGAATGCAATTAACAGCCTGATTCCACCACCACCCCCCCACCCCCACCCTCCCAGGGCCACCAAGATGCTGCTTCCAGAAGCCAGCTGGAAAAGTAAGCCTGCCTGGTGACGAAGGAGAAAAAAGACTCCCCTTGGGGAACAAACCCAACGGGGGCTTTTCTTAGATGACAGTAGCCCGACCTTCACAAGAAGGCCTAAGCATTTTCTCAGCTCCTCAAAGAAAGACATGGCCCGTACCTCCCTCTTGGGGAAAATGAATTTATGTGAAAGCTCAAACTAAGAGAAATATTATTTAAAGGGATGGATGAAGAAGGTTGTTATGTTTTGAGCAACAGAATCATAAGGTTTTATACTATTCTGAAAAACAATCCAGAGTCCCCA